AGAGACATAACAGATGATTGGAAAGACTATGACTTGAATCAAGCACACTTTATTCTTTAAACTGAAATCATTGCTCTTTAGGATTCTTTGACAGCAAACTTTCTCAGTGCCATAAGGCTTCTGATATCCTTCCTGGCTGCTGGTATACCAAGGGTGTTGGATCCAAGATAAAATTGATGACACTTTTCTCCATCTATCAAGGTGTTTCCTATTGACCTATTGGTGAGGATTTTTATTTCTTGATGTTTCAATGTGGTCCATATTACATCTAGACTAGTATTTACATGTTTTTATTTAAGGTTCATTAAAATTCAGGAAAATTTAAATTCCATTTTTCGCACACATTAGCCACATATCAGGTGCTTCAAAGTCATATAAAGCTATTATTGACTTTCTTGTGGAGAGCACATATAGAAAACATTCTTGCTGTCACAAAAATTTCTTTTAGACTATACTGGTAAACCATCATAAACCTAATTCTTTACTTTTTCCCTGCTACATTATATAATTGTTATTTTAAAATGATGGTTAGTAAGTCTTAGCAAAACAACTTGTTCAAACTTCTTGCAATCTCATTTCCTTAAAATACTTGTTTTTTCCAATTATATACATAATCATTATTTTCTTTTTTCCCTTTAATTGTCATCTGTTTACATTGCCAATACCTGATGATTTTATGATCATTTAAAACTAAATTATGTGATGAATACAGTTGAACTATATGCATTTGAATATTTTTCATTCTTAAGACAATACAATATATGACAGTGTCTCTGTGTGCCTTTTATTATATACAAAGAAAAATACTTCATAAATGATGATTTCCCTCCCTTTATCTTATTAAGTAAATTATATGGTCCTTTTTTATGAAATCCTCCATGGTTAGAGATGTAAAACAGCAATTTCTTGGTTCTATAGCATGACATAGTTCAGAGCTGAGATTAGAGAAACCCCGTAGAGTTGCTAATACTTGAGGGCATCCCCAACTAGAAAAGTATGTGAATTTAGGCATGGGAGGAAGGAAGGATCTGCTTTAAATTTAGTGTAGGGTCACTGAATCTTAATGATAGATTAAACAAGGGAGGTAGAATAATGAATAGGGGTATGCAGTGTGTAGCACTAATACCAGAAGTCCATGGTTTGTGGCGTTTTTTTAAATGTCTTTTCCCATATGGTTTTGAATAGAGTAGGTTATGGCAGGGATGAGCTAAGGAATAGCTTTGTTAATGAATAAATAGGAGTAATTAAAAAAAAATTGGAGACAAGCAGTTTATTTAGAATACCTGCTTAATTAATAAATCATGATTAATCTTTTTTCTTAATAACCCATTAAGTGGAATGCTGAATTATTCTTGGTATTTTTATTCTTAAAGAACCATATTGGTAGCCCTTACATTGAAATCCTTGTATTCAAATTTTAACTGTTTAATTAGAAGCCATTTGTATGGAGTTTCTGACTATTAACAACAACCATTTTTAGAGTTCAGTATAAAGTTAGATTTTGCTTTATGGTATCAAAATATATTCATAAAATCTTCATTCATAAGATCTTCGCTAAATTACCGTCTGAAAGCGGTATACAACTGGTTGATTTTATGTACCTAAACAAGATATTTAACTTTGGTGTCTTTCCTCTTATTCTAAGTTTCATTTTGGCATAGATATCCTTACCGTTTTATTCAGGTCCAGCCTCATCTCTCCCAGAAAGCATTGCTAAAAGCTGCTCTTGAAAAGCTTGTTTATATACTCTTTTAGCTATCTCTCACAGCTGTTTTTTAGAGGAGCTTTCTTCTTACTTCCTAAAAAAAGAGGTTAAATAGTTTGTCTGTAGTGCCTTAGTTAAGCAAAATGAAGGGAAGTGCAACTCTCCTGACTCTCCACTTGAAATGCAAACACTGACTTGGTTGTTCCCAAACTTTTTCCTTGATGTGGGTGACTTGAATGGTTTATTTTCAGTTGATGAGCCACACCCCCAGACCATTTCAGTATTCATGGCAGACTCCAACACTAAGTCTCTTTGTTGTCTTTGTTTTTTGTATTTTTTTGTTAACAAGAAAAGATAAAATTATGAGAGACTTGACTATAGACTGAGGTCCCATTCCTATGGTTCCCACCACTTTTTTCAGCATCTCAAAGGCAGAGTCATGGATAGGCAACACAAAACCACAATGCAAATATAAACAGGCTTGAACACCAAGTTTGTCACCATCTTTTTAATTTTGAAATTTGCTAGAGAAGTGATAATCTTTTCTTAAAGAAGAAAATAATGAATTACAACATACAGTCTGTACTACTGTCCTGATTTAGGCATTAAGGAACAGGATGATTTTATAAAGTTTCATTTCTCTATCTGTCTACACACATACATGTATGTATGTTAATACATATAAAATAAAAATTAAAAGAATATTCCATTTAAAAAAATTGGCATGGTATATTAGGCTTTGTTATCTTTCTTATCCTATAAATGCAGTTTTATTTTTGGAACTTATAAGCATTACACATAAAACATAACTGATTGTTTCTAGTCAGACTTTTACTTGTCTTAAAAGCAATGAGAGGCATTGGCAAAAGTTTCTAAATAGTGAGTAAGAAAAAGCTAGAATTACAAGATTCTGATTTCTCTACATTGGCAAAATTAAAAAAGAGGTCAGTTGTATGTCTACATATTCTTTTATTGCAACCAAGACTTTTACATTAATAGGAGATAAAGGAGATTCAAAATAGTGTATAAAAGGAGAAAGCCTTTGCTTGACTTCTCATGATAAAATGTACATACATTTGATTTCTTTGGAAAATTTTTCTTGCCATTTCTTCTCCAGCTTTATGTAACACCAGGAGCTGCCCTCTTATTGTGAAAGCAGTTTTCAGTTATTGAAACAATAACAAGTTGCTGTTTGCTCTGGCAGTTGTCCCTCCTCTACAGTCCTTAAAAGTAAAAAGTTGACAAGCTGTAACTGTTCTTTATTGCCTGTTGCTTCAAAACAGCTTTGAAAAGGACAACTTGCTCTCATGGCAGAGCACTTCCCCCTAAATGTAAGAAGTCTCAGTGAAAATTACAAAAGTATCAGGAAGAAAACAATTTTAAATATAATTTATTATAACTTCATCACATAAGAGAAAATTCTGGTTAAAGGAAAATGTGTAAAAAAAAATCTAGACTTTTTGTCCAATTACTTATTTTCTTGAAATTCAGTTTCCTCATTTGTAAATAATAATAATGTATTGTTGTTGTTGTTATGTGCCGTCGAGTCGTTTACGACTTATAGCAACCCTATGTACAACAACCCTAAACCCTGCTCTGTCCTGTGCCAATCGCACTGACCCCAGTCACTGATTGAATCCATCTCATAGAGGGGCTTCGCCTTCTTGCGCCGACCCTTCACCCTCCCAAGGATGATGTCCCTCTCCAAGGATCTGTCCCTCCTTGCAACATGCCCAAAATATGTCAGACGATCATATGTTAGCCTGAAGGCCTGGTCTTTGGCTTTATGTTGTTGTTTATTGGATGCAATCTAGTCGAATACAGCTTATAGCAACCCTATAACTATAGCTATAGAACAACAGATTTGTACCCTATCCTATCTTGTGCCATCCCCACAGTTTCTGACATTCTTGTGCCCATTGCTGTGGTCACTGTGTCAGTTCATCTGATAGAAGGTCTTCCTATTTTTTGCCAACCCTCACCTCTCCTAGCAACATGGCCAAAGGGTGTGTGTGCAATGTTAGCTTTATTGCATTTGCCTCCAAAGCCCCCTGGCTGCATCTTCGCCAAAATGTACTGGTTTCTTCTTTTGGCAGTGCATGGGATATTCTGTACCTTCTCCAAAACAATAGCTCAAAGGCATCAAATCTTCTTCTGTCGTCTTTATTCACTGCCATCACTTATTCTCAAATTAAGTGTCACCAAATTTTCTGAATGGACCAGTTACTTAGACTTTATAGGTCATGGTGGGAGTGCAAAACTGAAAATTTCTTCCCTTGTTGTCACAGAATTACCCCTTATTTTTATTTTATTTCTATAGTTCCTAGATTCTTATTATTTCTACAATAAGAAAAATGGTTTTAAATTTGTTTCTATTCAATGTGAAAGAAATGTGCATGTAGTCAGAATGACAGTATGCGCAAAGGGAGTGGTTCTGTTTTAGTATAACTTTATTTACCAAAATAAGGCAGTACCCATTTTGACTTGTAAGCTATAGCTTATTGCTTTCTGTTTTTTGTCATCATTTGAATGATAACATGGTATCTCGTTCATTTTAAAATGTGTTATTATTAGATATTAGATTATACCAGTCTTCATGACTTGATTATTAAAACTATAATGACGATCCTGTTAGCTAAATAATTGGTTCAGTGTGTAATTACGTCCTTAGGAATTATTTACTAATATATATATGACATTATATATATATGATACATGTATATCTTTATATATGACACTAATTTTTTAATATATAAAATTAAACTTCATAAAATCATTTTAGACTAAAGTAAACTGATAATCTTGTAATTGCTTTAATTGCTCTAGGATCAGCATCTTTATTACTGTAATTCTGAATGGATTGATTTACTGTATTTCTTCAGTGATTGGGAAAACTTAGAGTATTTCTTGAATGACTCATTTTTCACTTAAGGCAATAAAAACATTTGTTGTCATGGTATTTATTAGGCCATTAAATAATTGGTAAAATCTTGCCCCTTTACTATTTCCATAAAGTGTGGAGTGAAGAGATTACCCATAAGGGCAGGGGCTTGGCTGACTGATAAGAAGTTAACATCTTCCTATTTTACCTTGGGTCTTATTTCATCTGGTCTAATAAAAAAGGAAAATGTTTATTTTTGTTTGTTTGTTTTTTTTTTTAGTCTTCCATATGATTCAAATGTGAGTTCCTGCTATCCCTGAAGTGGTTAGGTTTATTTCTTCATTTTAGTTCATGTGTATAGGTATAGATCATTCATTCATTCATTTATTTATTTATTTTTTATTTTTTTTACCTTGGTATATCATTCTGGTCTTGTTGATGTTCCTTCATATTTAAGTGGTTCTCCATCTTCCCTCCCTCCTCCCATTTGACTGTACAGTGCATCCTTGGACTGTTAGCCCACAGCAGCAACTCAGTTTATTCCATGTTCCTCATATTCATTCAGAGGGTCAAAGTTCTGGTCCATAAATCCTTCTTTATAGAAAATTCAGTGCTTGCGAAAGAATTTGTAATAAACCAGGCATCCCAGGATAATGAGCTCCAGTAAGATGACAATGGAAAGCAGCAGTTTATTGGTCACCACTTTTCTGGACATTGACCGGAGAATCTTCCGACTTTTGCTCAAGTTTTCATTTGTGTTTACCAGTCTGCTCTTGGTACGTTCCAGCGGTTCTCTTTGCTCCCCCAGTTCCTCTATGATTTCAGAGCCAGTCTGGTCAGTCTCCGTGGCAATCCGATGAGAACGCTCAATACTCTGGGTGGCCCGGTTCAAGTTGTCAGTGCCTTGCAGAAGCAAGGCCCTTTGAGACTGTAGTCGATTCATGTGCTTGTTCTCTACAGCATAGGTACTGAATTTCAGGTCTCCTCGGCCCCCAGGTGTGGCTGTCAAAGGTGTGCTTCTCACTTCCCGATGCAGTTTGGCAAGGTCTTTCCGGTAGGTTCGAAGTTTGGACATCATAGGATTACGGAAAGATAGGGGTGCATAACGTAGTTCTTCCTCCATCTCTGCCAGCGTTTCATTTGCTTCTTGTTGTTTTTCATCAAAATCTCTGATCAACTTCTTCTTCTCTTCGGTCCCCGCTGTCCCCAGCATCCGCTCGGGCACCCCCTGCAGGTCCTCATGGAGGCCGCGGAAGATCTCGTGCAGCTTCTCGAAATGCTCGGAGGCAGCGGCAGAGGTGGCCATGGCGCAAGGCGCGCGGCCCGCTCCTATCCCGGCAGTCAGCCTCCCAGCCCCACAGCCATCACGACTGCCGCCTCCGCCGCCGGGACCTAGATCATTTATTTTAGAGTTATAATTTTACTGGAATGTCCAGCCAGCCAGATATATATACCATGTTGTTGTTATATGTGCCATTGAGTCACCTGCAACCCCTAATGACCCAGTGTACAGCAGCTCTGAAAGCCTGCTCTGTTCTGAGCCAATCTCACTGACTCGGATACACCTTACCCGATTGCCCCAGTTACTGTTTCAGTCCATCTCATTGGGAGTCTTTCTCTCCTGTGCTGTCCCTTCACCTTTCTGAGAATGATGTCCTTCTCCACAGATCAGTTCCTCTTGGGCACATATATCTCTAGTCATCCTTAGCCACTGTCTAGCTCCCTGATAAATAGCAGTAATTATGAAGACTGTTTGCTTCTCAGTACTCTGGAGAGGTCCCTTCCAGCAGATTTTCTCAGTGCAGTTCATCTTTTGATGTCCTTACTGCCAGTGCTGAGAGTATTGATTGCGTAACCTAGAAAGCTGAAATTGTTAACAATCTTGGTCTCTTCTCCATCCATCAAGGTTCTGCCAATTGGCTTACTGGTGAGAATCTTTGTTTTCTTGATGTTCAGCTTCAATCCATATTGAAGACTACAGTCTTTGACCTTCTGCAGCAAATGCTTCAGGCCCTCCTCAGGATTAGCAAGCAAGGTTGTGTCATTTGTATTATGTAGGTTGTTGATGAGTCTTTCACCATGTCAAATACCTTTGCATAGTGAATGAAACATTCCTCTGGTACTCTTTGCTTTCTGCCAAGATCTGTCTGACATGGGTGATAATATCTCTCGTGTCATGACCTCTTCTAAATCCAGCTTGTATTTCTGGTGGTTCTCTGTTTATGTACTATTCCAGTTGTTTCTGGATAATGTTCAGCAGGATTTTGCTTGTGAATGACATTTATTAGTGATACTGCTCTATAATTCCCACATTCTGTCAGATCACTTTTTTTTTTTTTTTGGAATGGGAATAAATATGTATCTCTCTTCAGTCAGTTGGCCAGGGAAAAACAGTAAAAATGTTTCAGGTGAGAAAAGGAAAGATTAACAAAGATTTTCTACTGGTAGAAATTTTAATCTAAGAATCCTTTGTGATTAGGTTACACTTTTTGTCATATAATTTCCTGTATTCAAGGTGACATTTTCTATTTCTGTGCAAATAATTACCAATCATATTAATTCTTAGGAGAGATTGACCACCTTAGGCAGGAAGTTGAAGGAACGTCATTGATGTTGTTAGATGATTTTGAGTCGACTTCGACTCATAGTAATACAGTGACCCACAGATTGGAACTATGCTCTATCCTGCACCGTCCTCATGATGTCTGTCATGCTCAAGCCCATTGAGGTAGTTACTATATCAGTCCATATGTTGAGGATCTTTCTCCCTTTCTCTGTCACTACAGCCTCCCTAGTATAAAATCTCTGTAATCCTCCCAGAAGGCTTGGTTCCTCCTGAGAATATCCAAAATCAAGTGGGAAGAGAGTTCACCTTTCTTGCTTTTAAGAGAGCATTCTGGTAGCACTTCCTTCAAGACAGATTTGTTTGTTGTTTTGGCAGCCTGTAATATTCAAAACATTTCTCCAGCACCACAATTCAAAGGTATCAAGTCTTCTTTGGTCTTCTTTATTCTTTGTCCAACATTCTGATGCATAGGAATCACTTGAAAATACTATGATCTGGACTAGGTACACCTTCTTTTGTAAACAGATATTCTTAGTCTTCTTTAACACTTTTGAAAGGTCCTTGACAGCAGATTTCCTCCATGCAGCACATTTTTTGACTGCTCCCACCATGAATGTTGTGTACCCAGATAAAATAAAATCAGAGACAAATTCAGTCTTTTCTCCATCTATCATGATGGTGCCTATTGGTCCAGTTGATATTGAGGTGTAATCTGTATTGTAGGCTAGAAGCTTTGTGTTTTCCACCTCCCAACCCCCCACTAAACTATCCAGCTATATTAAAAGATACTTTTCATAAACATGGTATTTCAGTCAGGACATGGGCGGACAATAGTTAGCAGTATATAGCAGTTTTCAAACTCCCTTCTTCAGTGGACTACCAAAATCAGAAAGCCATTGTAAAACCCAATGAAATATTCACTACATATTCTGAACAGGGAAAGTTTAGAATGAAGGTTGACATTTCCCATTTAGCATGGAGCTTAACAACTGTTCATGATCTGACCTGACTTTCAGAATATGCAACAACAATGGCACTTTTATCAATGTGAAGATCCACAATAAAAAACAAAAAAAAACCCCACCACTACTATTTTGAGGGATGCTATTGAGATGGCATCACCAAAAAATTCTAGATTTCTTGACAAAATGATAATCATTTTTTTTGGGAGATTAGATTTTTCTAGAGCTCTGGACTTATGGGAGTCATGTCTATGCTGAAGGAAGAGAGAAAGCATACATTAAAAATAGGTTTTGTTTTTCGACACAAAAAGGCACTTATGCCAAATTTGTTAATGTGTGTCAACACCAGAGAATCTTTCCTTATGAGAATTAAGAGGAAGTTTCTCAAAACTGGAAGGATTCATTCACATCAGTCTGGCTTCAGAGACGTAGTACTAGTCACATTTGCCGCTTACCCTAAAATCGTGAAGTGTTCCATGTGCTACAATTCTGCATTCTTTTTTTATAAAACTTCATAGGAAAAATAGTAAACAGAAGAGATTGAGGTTGTTAACAGTAGCAGCTTGCTTGGCTTCACCTTCAACACTCTTGGTACCAGCAGTAAGGAAATCAAAAGATAAACTGCTTTGGGAAACTCTGCTGTCAGGGACCTTTTCAGAGTACTGAGAAGCAACGATGTCAGTCTAGAGACTAAGGTGCACCTGATCTAGGCCATGGTCTTTACAATTACCTACTATTCACCAGAGAGCTGAACAGTGTTAGAGGAAGAATTGATGCTTTTGAGTTGTGATGCTGGAGAAGAGTCTTGAACATACCATGGACTGCCAAGAAAACAAACAGGTCTGTCTTGGGGAGGCTGAAACCAAGTTTCTCCTTGAAAGTTAGGATTGTGAAGCTCTCTCTCCCATACTTGAGGCATGTGGTCAGGAGGGACCAGACCCTGAAGAGGGAAGGGTGCATGAACAGCACAGGAGAGGAAGACCACAGATGAGATGGATTGATACTGTGACTGATAGTGTGGGTAGATGTGTCAGAATCAATTAGGCTGGCTTATGACAGGAAGTACTAAAGAGCTTTTGTACATAGGGTTGCTGTGATTCACAGGTGACTCATGGGACATAACAAAACAACAAAACAGCTTCTAGAAGTACACAGTCCTCAAATATACATGTATTGTACTTGGCATCTCCAGCATCTTCCTCTTTCTGAACCTGGTCTGTTTTGGCATCTCCATTTTCTGCAAGGTCATTTCCATCTCTTTTTGCCCTTTGGACACTTTCTCTCCTTTGTTTGAAGGGCCTTTTTAGATTTAGGCTCTGGCTTTGGAGAAGCTGTTTTAGGGGATAATCTTGTATTCTCCCCTGTGGTGCATTCTTAACCTTCATTTTATCTCTGTTAAGTTCCCATTGAACCTTGCTCTTGGGTGTGGGTTTGATAAGTCAGGGCACACAGGTGCTGGACTTGGGGGATGTAGCAAGCTTTGGTTGACAATAGGGTTGTTCTTATTTCTTCACACTTCTCCAAGGTTGTACTCTTTGATCTTCTTCAGTGTTTTAAGTCTTCACTTGAAAGCTAAGTTGTGTCATCTGCATACCATAGGTTGTTTAGTAATTCTTCCTCTAAACCTGATGCCATATTCTGCTTCAGGTAGGCCAGTTTCTCTAATGATTTACTCAGCATACAAATTGAGTAGATAAGGTTAAATGCATACCATTCCTGATTTTAAAATATGCAGCGTTCCCTTGTTTTGTTTTAACAAGAGATCTTTATCCATTCTCACTTCCCAAAATTGTGATCAAATAAAATGTGGAAATAATCAAACAATATCATTACTGCTATATGCAAGTAACATCTTGCTGAAGATTTTTCAGAAATGGCTGGTGCAGCACATCAACCTGGACCTGCCGGAAATTCAGGTTGTGAACAACAAATGCTGGCAAGATTGTGAAGAAATTAGAACTTTTATTCACTGCTCCTGGCAGTGTAAAACGGTACAGCCACTGTGGAAGGCTGTCTGGCGCTTTCCCAAAAAATTGGAAATAGATATGTCACTTGACCCAGGAAATCTACTACTGGGAATATACCCTAAAGAAACCAGAGCTATGGCTCCAAAAACAGATGAATGTACACCCACATTTATTGCTGCCTTATAGCAAAGAGATGGAAGCAACCGAAATGCCCAACAACAAACAAATGGCTTGGGAAACTATGGTACATTCACACATGGATTATTATGCAGCATTGAAATACAGTAAATTTATAAAACATTACACAGCATGGGAAAGCCTGAACAACATTATTTGGTGTTGTTTACTGTGGAGTCGGAACTGACTCATAGCTGACCCTCCAGTGCGTTTTCAGAGGCAGTTAATTGCTTGAGAGGAAATTGCTCCATACTTCTCCCACAGAGAACATTATCCTGAGTGAAATATTTAAGGTAACAAAAGGACAAATGCTGTACAACACTTCTGTTACAGATGAGGATTAGGCATTATACATATGACAACACTGCAACAAGGGGTGCATTGTTTGATGGGCTGGGGAGGAGGGAAGAAAAGGTGCAAGAGAAAAAAGAATTGTAAGTTGGTTGGGGGAAAGAGGAAAGAAAATGTGCACCAATGAATGAATGAAAATCCACTTTTGCTGTAAATTTAAGTTAATATCACAATAAAATAAAGTTTAAAAAGAAATTCAAGTTGGATTCAGAAGAGTCCATGGTACAAGGGATTTAATTTCTGATGTGAGCACCACATTTTGAGAATCACTGTTTTATATAAACAGTTCCT